TATCGAGCAGCAGTTAGACAGGCAGGGGTCATTCTGTGTATATTGATGAGTATGACGAATGAATGGCTATGGGAAGAAACCCCATATCTATATAGTGAGTGTATGATCCCCTTGTATAAGGATACCCTTACTAGCCTTATTCATACTTCTGGTTAAGCATGAGTCAGATCGCTTGGGGCGAAACAAGTACCGTAACGAATGTCCTGGGGCAGTCTGACAAGATCCTTGAGAGGAATCGAGCAGCAGGGGCGAAGGCACACGCCTCCTAGGTTCCAATGCCAGCTGCGATTCAGTATGAATTCTGTGTACATTTCCGGCCAAGTGATTGTTCGCATGGACTAGTAGATCGCTTGAAGGAAGAATTGGTTCGTCATGTACCATAGCAAAGCAGGACATTGAAGCTCAGGATGGCTCGAGACGGTAGTGCAGTCCAAAACCCGTACAGTAGACCTTGTGTGACGCAGGCTGCGAAGCCAGGTAGCCCTGCAGGATGTCCTACCCAATCGTGCCCTTTCCCAGTGCAGTGTCACCTTCGTGATCGACGAGCGATTGCTTACGGCGGTTCTTCGTAAGGATCACGTGGCATTGAACGGTTCATCTCCTTGTAGAGTCAATCAGCCGTGTAAGGCGTCCTAGACCTGCCAGCTCTGTCTTGATGGTACACCAGCTTGAGAGCATATTGTTCTGACCATCTCTTCTCAAGTTCAACTCCTCCTTTTTACTAGTGGACGGAAGTCGCAATCTTCGGTGTCGGCCTGTTCCAAGGCTTTGCTCTCCTGAGTGCGGAATCGAAGTTCGTCGCCAGACAAGATTCGCTCGGCCGAGCTGGAAGACCGTCGGCGCTTTTTGAGGATCCGTTTAGACCTAATCCCGCCGTCCGAACCCTCTTCTCTTGCTTTCTGTATTTCTTCTGCTTCATCGAGCAATTCAGCTAGCTTTTTGAATTTGATGCAAAGCGATGTAGCTAATCCGCCAGACAGGGCATCCGTGGCAAAATCGCTCAGTGCGAGGCGTATGTCACCGGTCTCATTCATGTCATCGAGGTTCGGAGATCGAAATGCCTGCACAGGTGTGAGTCATGCCCCCTAGATCCAACGACAGTGCCTACCTGATATGCGATCTCGGTCTGGACACCAATAGTGTCAAGATCTTGCCCCTCGTCTCGCGTGTATTCCGGGCGCCATAACGAAACCGTCGATGGTTTCGCGCCATGATTGATGTCAAGCCCAATGACAGCCTTGATATCTCCATTTGAATGCTGAATGTAATCCCAGGCCAGCTTCTCGAGGTTTTTCCCGTCCTGTGAAAAGGAAACCTCAAGCACGACTCCAGGGAACGCGGCCTTCCTGTGTCCGAACTGTGCGTCCGGGTGCCGTTGTAATGGATATACTGCACCGCCTTCCCGGGTTTCCTCTAGCAGAATCCGGGACGAACCCCCGCTTATGATGTTGTCCGCGAATGCCCCATCTGTATTGTTTCGCTCGGCAACATGTCGAAGTTGTTTGTAAATTTCGTTCGCTACGGAGGTAGAGAAGACGTCGTGGACAGGAGCAGGCATTCGCAGAGTGAAATCTCCAGTCGCGGATTCGTAGTCCAACCTGTGATCCAGTAAGACATCATCGCATCGATGTGCATCATAGGGTAGATTAGACTCACCGCGCCTTGTCTTCGAGATATTGAGAAAGAGAGCGCCGCCGTTGCAGTTCTCCTATCGCACGAGGACAGTGTATTGAAGGCACGCAAATCCGCGTTGTGAGAAGGCAAGAAATCGAAGGGTCCCGGTAATCCTCTAAAATTCGAATCAATTCCTCCGCGTCGTAGTCAGATTTCATTGACTTCTGATCACAGGATGCCGGAGGCGTCAAAGGCAAGCCGTGGTTCTCCGAAGGGGTGCTCGAGTCCAGATTTGGTTCTGTGCCTTTGGCGAAAGACTCGCGAGCGGAGACGGCTGGGCTGGCCATGCTGAACGATTCTGGATGGCGAGGATGAGGTTGTTAAGGGCCAGCGATTGGTTCTGGTGGTGCTTATGGTAGGACATGCACCCGATAAGCCGAGGTGGATCCTGCTGTAGAATCAGACGATCACGTGCCGAGGAAGCCTCGGAAGGCTCCACAGCCAAGACCAGGGAAAACGATTCCTGTCAGATGTGCCATCGCCGATATCAGCACATCGCTAGAGAACGGAATCGGTTCATCACCCAGAAGAATAATGTAATTTGACCTACACTGAGGGCAACTGAGTATGTACTGTCACAAGGTGGAGAAACGTGCGCAGCCTTCCACTACTTTGCGGTACAAGCCAAAACTAGCCTATGCTTGTGTAATGAGTGCACATCTGCTTGTTCAGACAGTAGTACTGCAAAGTAGAGCCGTATTGCTGGCTCCCCGCAAGACGTGGGAAGAAAACATGGAGCTTAGACATAAGCTGCTATACCGGTTGAGTTTCATACAACAAACCAAGTCATTTTGTTCAGGGCATATCAAAGCCCGCTGGCTGATGTCGTTCCGTCTAAAATTCCCTCGGCACAATCGATCACTCAAGTAGTGACATACTGACGGAACTACATGTACTCAGAATAGCCTCATACAAATGAGCGGCCCTCTCTTCAGTATCCATCCGCGCCACCACGACATGCGACAAATCCTGGGCACGATACTATTGATAGTTCTCGGCCGGCCACTGCATGCCATTCTGGCAGTGTCACGTGATTATAGATCATCGGGCGGACACCTCCCTCCTCGCCACTGAGCCCTTGCTTAGGTAAGACTGTAGGTATAAGTATCCCCACAGCCATCGTCCAGTAAGTAGGCTTTCGTCAAGAAACCAAAGCAGCCAATGAGAGCACTCCCCGCGAAAACGAGAACCATCAGGGCATGGATCACCCACTTGCCAGGCCAACGCGGCCGCGAGAGAGGCTGGGAAAGCCGGCGAGTTGGCGGTCAAGGTCGCGCGCATCAAAGCAATGGGGCCGGCGAAACCAGGGAGCATTGTGTAGTCAAATGACAGCGTAGCCATCCGAGGACTTGCGGCAAGCACGCATAATCCCCATAACCAAAAAGCGCCCCAGACCCAGACTCAGACTCTGTGACATTTCCATGATGCATCAAGGAGCGACGATTGTCGACGAGATAAAGGCGTACGAAGTCTTTGTCCAGATGCATCCAGTCACGCTACCGGGTATCGATCTGGAGCTTTGAGCAGCAGCTTCCCAGAATAGGACAGGTTCCACGCCATGTTGCCTAAGCCGCGAATGGCACAAGATCTTTAAGAATAGCTCGCCCATGTTTGTAAAGAAACGAGACAGCCAAGGTCACTTCTAAAGCATGAATGCAGCCTGTGTATGCACGGGTGGAGCGCGCATGCCTCAATCTCGTGAAAGGAGAAAGGTAGCGTGGCCGAAGCCCGCTTCTTCTGCAAGATGTTCCACAGGTGTGAAGGGTGCGGTGTAGTGCAAAAATGGGCCTCCTACTTTGCATTAGTCTCGCTGCAGCTGAGCTCACGACTGCCCCTGTCGTTCATGCTGTGCAGTGTGGTGTACTCCACAGTACCTCAGGAAGGATGTCATGTTGTCGCTGCTGATACTTCGTACGCAAGTGGATGGCCCAGTAGAGTGGGGTAGCGGCCTTAGGCATTCACTGCGTCTAGACAATAGCTTGTCCGCGGGCTACAAAACGAGGCCACGTCGATCATCCCTGTTGGAAAGTTCACATTGACATGAACAGCAACGAGGCATACTCACGATGACGACAACTGAAAAATTAGAGTTTCAATTTCCCTTAGAATATCTTAATTCGGAGGACTCGAAAACGTTCCGAACCGCTTACAAGGTCGAGACCCGTATGTCCATCAGTTTCGTCTGCTTCGAAACTCAAGCACACTACAGCTGGGGCAATCGTGCTGCCGATAAAATGCTCGTAAGCTTCGCCGATTTTGCTTCCAGAACCGGAGAAGATCTGAGCAAAAAGGTTCAATTCTACGTAAGTTACCTGTCTCATACATCAGAGGCCGCAACTGAGTCAGTACCACAGAAAAACAAGATGTCAAATGACTTATCACAGTCTGATGGAATAGTGATCGATCCTCGCACTGATCAAATCGTATACAGACGGGTCATATGCTCTGACCCTCTCAAATGGCAGATGTTGAGACACAAAGATAAAAAATTCAAAAAAGAAGAAGTCAAAATCATAGAAGGAGAACCCATCACCATCAAAGAAGAAGTCACAGTCGAGGTAAAAGAACTCATAACCATAGAAGGAGGAAAAGTAGTTGAAACCCCTGAAGGGTGGGATGTGGAGACTTTCTGTTATTGGTGGAATCAGGTCACGGATACAGGAATATGGAGTCCATACAAACATCAGCCAACTTAGACATCCTCCACGGGTTCGTAGCTTCTGGTCTCTTGATATGGAAGGTAGGAAACAATCTCGGCAACATAAGACCAACCGGAAGTGAGGTGGTTTCGAAAGAACGCACCATATCCATCCATTCGATAAAGCCTGCCGAAATTGCCTGGCAGGCGGTCGCATCGACCTCATTCACTACGTGTGTCGATGTTTTCCAAGCATCACGAATGCCTAACGTATCCCCGATCAGCCTTTAAGACGTGCGCATTGGCATCAAAGAGCAATGCCCACTCCATCAGAATCTCCCAAACCTTTACTGTGTCCCAAATGTAATCCAAAGTCGTTCACTGTTCTCAATGCGCCCGTTGGGATTGATTCGGTGAAAGTCAACAACCCGAGACAGCAAAGGGGAGTAGAGGGGTTTGCATGGAGAACCGGGATTCGCCTTAGATGCGTCAGCTAAGCTTGGGACAGTTTCGATCACAGTGTTCGGAGGGAGAGATAGACTTCGCCAGCTTCAATGTTGGAGTTTCACGCAGAGGTGGCGTGGAGCGGTTTTTTGCAATTGGGATCACCGCATTTGGAGTCTGGACATCTTTCATGAAAGCATTGGATGTTGGCTATGCTACGTTCGCGTAAGGCCGAGCGGTGGAGACACCTGGTCTCGGGTCAGAAGATGGGACTCTGTAGCAATCCCAGGTTGAGTCGTGGTGCTTCGATCAACATGGTCACGGCGCGACTTTGAAGTTCGACGTGACGAAGTTCGACGTGAAATGCGGGAGAGAATCCAATTGGACCACACGAAGAGAAAGGCGAAGGAGCAGATGGGATTGGAGATATGGAAGTCACCGGAGTTGAGAACCATTGCTTTGTCGCAAATCTTGTGTCTCAAACTCTCCCGCCATCTTTTCGTGACATGGAGTGTGATAACCGGGATGCCGAGGTGGATTGGCTCGTGCGAGAAGAAACAGCGCTCACTCCCAGATCAGGCCAGGCTCACTTCAGATGAATGCAATGGCCGAGCCAAGGAAGAAAGATGTAGGCTGATACATGTGTGTGAAGACCAGCGGTGTCTGGAGGAACTGAAGTCAGGAAAGCAATCGAATTCCCTAGTCACCTTGCAGAGAAGTATAACCCTTGAACGGTCTCATTTCACAGATATGCTATCTTGATCCAGCCCCGGTCTTGCGGTCATGATTCTTCGAGTGCAATGCTTCGAGTACAGTGTCCTCTCGACGATGGATCACGAGCGCTGAATAGGACTCTGCTGACTAGGATTGAGATCTTTGAGGGAATTCAGAGCCATTTCGGCGGCGTCCTCCTTCGCATTATTGAGGTATTCCCGTCGTACCAGAAGCGAGCTGACAGCGTGCGCCCGTGGACGGTCACCCGGCTAGACCAAGCCGTGCGTCCTCCTGTGAAAGAGTCAGTACCGCTCAGAAAGCCAGCAGCGAATGCTTACCTCGCCGATCGGAGACGATTTGGAACACAGGTGGCATGATGTTGTCCTCTCGGCAGGCATCTATTCGCTGTTCAGACTTGGCGGCGCGGGACAGAGAAGTCTCTCATACCTTCAAGGCGCTTTTGCCAGGTTCCCGCCTGGGTGCTGTGGGAGAGGGCAGACATGGCATCAAAGGGATGAGCGTGTGCTATTCGATACACTGCACATTACATCCTGACGGTCGTACACTCGCATATTGATACCAATGGCGGCCTGACAAAAAGACAGCGTCAGGACATACGTAGGAGACCTACGGATCGATGGCCTGCGCTCTCGGTGCGCAATACATACTCCGGTGAGCATGACGCCCCAGGACTTTCCTGGCGCGGCGGGGCAAGACGGCCCCACGCCGGTGGTGCGGAAGCCGGGCCAGCGCCGCGGCCGGAACCTGGTCCCTGCGTCTGGGTGAAGTGGGGTGTCGCGCGAGGGCGACTGGGGCGTGTGCTACTCGCTCTTCACTGTCCGTTGTGCCCTGACGGCGCCGGGGTCAGGGCGTGCACTGACCGGCCCGCAAGAGTGGCGGCCGCTGACGTCCCCTGCTTCACCGAGCAGCGTGTATGTACACTACGCAGACACCCGCTCTTCGGAGTGGTGGAACGCCACAGGATGAACGGACCCGAATCCATATGCAGCACCCCGGTCGAAGGGCTGCAGCAAGCGGACGCCCTGATACGGCCGCATTGGCCTGTATGCCACCTTCGATAAGGTTAGCGTTAGTCGCGTGGCATCCAGTCGTCTGATGGTTGGGATCCACCAACAAGGGCTACGCCTGTTTTGACATCGACGGCACTGACGATGGCTGTCGTCCTGGCTGTTCGAAGAAGTGCCAGTTCCTACAAGAAATGGCGTTTCTCCGTCACACAATCTTGCAGGCACAACCGTGGCTCTGCCACTCGGTGAGCGAATGTGATGACCGGTCTTTCTACGGAGTATTACAATGCCGTTGACAAGCGTCCATCGTCTCTCGCCCCAGCGTGCGTCCCCACACCGGTCGACACGAAAAGCAACTGGCGGATCGCTCTGTTTGTCTGTGCTTGGTATCTGAGCAAGGGGGCGGGTAGCAAACACCAACGGGCGGTGGCCGTCACTGGGGCCCACTATGATTGGTCGTTACATTGCCCACCATCCATGGAGGCTGAAGATCTCGTGGGGCGTGGCAGCAAAACCTTTGCTTACTCCCAAAGAAAGCCGGGCACACCCTCTCCAGCTGGGCGAGGCACCCATGTTCGTGGCTGGCGGGCACTGGGACCAGGGAGGCGTGCGTAAACCCCTGCTCTTCGATTCATCGCGAGAGATCCTGTGGGTGTGCTCTTTCAATCCTCGTCCGCGCATGGCGCAGGGGCGTGGGCCACACTCGACGCGGTCGCGCCAACAGAGTCTCGTCTGTGTACCTCTTTGAGTGGTGTGAAACCTACCCCTCGGCCGCGTACTAGCGCGCTGGGGGCCTCGTGTGGAAGACTTCGACTAGGGCGTGGCCCCGTTCGCACTGGGCAGTCAGGTCCGCGTAGCTGACCGGCCGGGGGTGTTCAAAAAAAAAAAAATCACGTCTAGCCATGAACGGCGAGCGTGCCTTCGCCGTCGGAAGGTCCAAGGTTGGATCCAGGCAGCCACTTCGACCGGCGCACACGCGTCGGACGATAACCCTGAAGGCGAGGAGTAGCGAAATTGCTTGACGAAGATCTCCTGGTGCTGATGGGCACGGCGTAGAGTGAAAACCGTACGAGTACTAGCCACGCAGCCCTACTCAATTTGATTGTCAACTTGCGACCGCCTCTGCGCCTGAAAGCTCTCGTGAGGGGGGGCCTGGGAGGTTAGTGACGTGAATCGCAGTCACGTATTATTTGGCACGCCAAATGCAGTTTTCTCTTTTCTTCCACTCGCTACACCATTACCTCGACTACGTAACAGGTGGGAGCAATGAGTGCCGACCTCGCGGCATTAAATACCTGGTGCACCGATGAGCTGCGTATGTTAAAGTGGTCCAATACGAACTCGACAGAGAGCTGACATCCGTAGATCCGTGCTCGCTGGCCTTCAGCGAGGTGAAGGAAAGAGAAGATGAGGGCCCAGTGAATGTCAAAACCAGGCTCGATGGTTTGCAGGGGCCTCGAAGCACATATGGCGACGATGTGGACCTCAACGCAGCGCAAGTCTTGGAACAAAGTAGGGCCAGTAATGAGAATTTTCTCACGCCGCCAGAACACCATTATGGCCTCGACACTTACACCGAGACTCCAAGTTCTGATACCGCTCAAGACCTACATTTCCTTACAGGTTTGCCATGGGCAAGTCATGATGATCAACTTATGCCGCAGAGTCAATTATGGAGCATACGAGAGCTAAACCTTCAGTCGGGAGGTCCAGCTGACGACGTGGGAATTCCGCAAGATAGCTTGTTTCCCGGCTTCGATAGCTATGTCCTGGGACCAAAGCCGGTACGGTGATGTCCAGCTTGACTGTCGCTGACGCCGCTGACAAAATCCAGAGAGACTCTAGTATGCGGATCGGGCAAACCGAGCTCGCACGAGAACACGTCTTTGAGAATGAGTCTGTACCCGCTGGTTTGCTAGAGCAAGAGCCCTGCTTCAATACTCGAAACAGCCGTAAGAGGAAGCGAAGCCGTCGCTCAAGAAAGCGGGATAGTCTCTTGAAAGAGCAAAACTGTCTTCTCAGAGAGCAAAACAGTCTTCTGAGAGAGCAAAACCGTCTTCTGAGAGAGCGAAACAGCCGCGAGAAAAAAAGAAGCGGTCACTCAAAAAAGCGGAATAGTCTCCTGAAAGAGCTAAACGGTCTTCTGAGAGAGCGACGTCAAAGTAAAGAATCAGTCTCAGATGGACGACTCGGAGGCACCCAGCTTGCTCGCGAAGCGCCACTGCTTGCGGGAGGCGAAGAATCCTTAGACGACATAAGTGATGACTCGTTATCGGGTTATCCTGACCGGAGCGCACTGAAAGAACGGCTCGATCGTCCATATGATTGCTAGTCTCAACAAATCCCATATTTACAGTTGGTTGCCTGGAGCCACGTCTACTCAGGAGTATTGCTTCACTACGGCCATCAACGAATCAGGAGAATGTGTTCTTGGAATCGGCTTCAACCTATCAGTAAACCACTTTCCTCTTTGAACCATGCAGAAACTTGATCCACAGCAGCCTCGAATCACGCCTCCTCTGCACCAGATACCCCTGCAACCCTGCTTGAGAGACCACGCCCTCGAACATGTTCTCTGCAAATTCTGCTGCGAAGTCAGGACTCGTGTCGGCGGCCTTGGTGTTTGCAGACTCTTCTGTGATGGAAGAGCCTGTGAGGATCAAGGAACGAAAGATTTGTCGGGCGGTTTCCTGGTTCGCCAACGCAAACGCGACCTCCATATCCACTCTCCCGGGTCTGGTGATAGCGGGGTCAAGTTCGCTGCGATGGCTGGTCAAACCAGAGTCCGAGCAAAAGTCCAAGGAAGATGCCAAAGGCGAAGTTAAGAAGGATGCCGCCGAAGATAAGCCTACAGACAAACCTGTCCCTACTCCCTCGCCGCCAGCGCAAAAGCTTTACGATTCAGATGGCGATTCCTCCGACTCGCCCATCGAAGACTGGGACGAGTTGTACAGTGATGACGACATGGTCAGAAAGCTACGCCTCACCTCTGCAGATCCGCCCAAAAGACACGACGAGCGTTACGAATCAGAGGAAGAGGGTTTGCCTGATCCTTAGAACGCCACCTGCATTGTGGGAGTTCGCGTCTACTCCATGGACGAGGACCTTGAAGTCCGTGTCGTCATGGAGAGTGGAGAACTAGGTGACCCCAGTTGAATCACACGAAGAGTAGTGCTAGAAGCTATCAGACTGGTATCGACTACCGACATGATACACGACCTCAAGAGCCGTTAGTGACAAGTTCGCCCGCGTCTTGACGAGACCTCCGACAATGCACCCTAATTTCTTTCAAATCACTCGAGTCGCAGCTAGTTCCAATTCCACTCATGGTGGCTCTTTCCGTCACAGAAATTCCTCTGATATTGTCTCTTCGACGTACATTCGGGATGCGCAGGACCGCTGCCCATTACCACCGGGCGAATGAGCTGCTCTTTCTTCATTGACGAGTCTATAGCTACTGTGGCGCTCCACTGTCGTCCGCCTTTCCGCCGCGCCCCGAATTCTCTGACTGTCGTTTTTTACGAGCAGCTTCCGCCTCTTGCTTTCCTTGACTAATTTCCCCGGCATACGTGCCACCAAGAACTGGTCCATGATCAGCGGCTGTAAGAGAGCTATATACCGAAGCGCCACACGCGGGGTAGCTGCACACACATTCTCACCGGGGCGCATCTTTTGACCTCTCCTGCACTCCTCCCCGTCGTTCTCCCATACATCCCCAGCAGCCTTTTGCCCAGTGTCCACCTCTGGGTCTTGAACTCAGTCAGCGCGAAGCTTGGTGTGCACGGCAGCCCTGTCTGGACTAGCCCCGGCTCTGCCTGGAAATCCCGCAAACCGGGCCAGACCGTTCTAGCAAACTTGTCCGGGATTCGAAAGTTAGCTAACGGCAACATCACGGTATCGGGCGGCAGGTGAGGAAATCCTGACCCTACAATTCGCCGTCACACCGAGCTTTCAGCTTGGCCGCGTTTTCCTTGTCTGTCTGCCTACTCGCAGACGATCGAGAGATCCAAGCAAGTAAACAACTCCTTCGGCTCGCTTCTGCTCGTCGAGCATCACAACACTCGTGAGGCCCTGTCAGAGCACGAGCCGAGATTGCAGGAAGTCATTTGCCAACACGACAACTGCTTTTATGCCACCAAACGCACTACCTTAGCTGCAAAGACTTTTTTTGCTGTATTTAAGAGCCATGCCTTCCTGGTCTTGCGTCCCCCCCTTGCATGTTTTGAGTGTCATCGATCGGCGTCGTTCACTTGCTGCTCATCAAGGACCTCGCAGATCAGGCCAAGCGCGATCGTTTACATCAGATTCAATGCCCTTTTTTCTGCAGGATCCGAAGTACCTTCGACGGGGCAGGCTGGGAATTCCATATCGGCGTTATCTTCGCCGAACCCTGTCTCGACATCAACACGACTCCAGATACTGCACTGCACTAATTGAGATCACAGCCTGGCAATTTGAACAAAGCACCGGTCTCCAAAATGATTCTAGCTACATCCCATTCATACATTCACAAAAGAAGTCGCCTACCAAGTCAAAATCCTTCCATCGAACTTTCAAACTCGAGGGATACGAAAAGATCCTCCTCATCGGGAGTCTTCGCCTGCCAGTCCATAACGATGTGAATAGCAAGTTTGACCCAGACAAGCCTCGCCTCTTCTCCACCAGAAAACACCATCACTGCCCTTTCATTCCAAGATGTTAGCTGCGTTCGTACGAATCTGACCTCAGACCACTTGAACCGCAGTGGCGCCCCTTGGTATTCTACTACCAATCCAGGAGCTGTCTTGGTCCGATAGCCTTTTTCTGGCCTCCAAGCTTTGCCTCGATGTTCTAGGTACCAATTTATCTCGCAGTCAGCCTTCAGTGTCGACAGTTGCGCCGATGCAGTGTGAGTAGTTTGGTTGGTAATAGCTGGCTGTTGAACACCATTGTCTGTGCTTCCCTGGCTTCTGACAACTGCCGAGGAAGGAATTCTGTCGGCCTGTTTCAAGGCAAGAACAGTTGAATGCAGTGCGTTGGACGCCAACTCAGCTGGCAGCACTCGTGATGAAGAGTCACTGCCGTTGGTGATCTGTTGTTGAAGCACCTGTATCTCAGGAGCCATATGCGCGTAGGGAGCACATTGACGATCGTCGACTGGAATGATCGACATGTTCGCGAACATGTGCTGGCCCTACAAAGGGTAGAAAATGTCAGACAATGTCATCTCATGTAATTCTAGTTTCTCACCGAACTGACCTGCGCCTTGGTTATCAGAGTCTTGAGCCCCCGATCACCAACTTCGTGCCCGTTCGGCAGGTTTTTTCGAGCTTCAACCAAGTCAAGGTCACTGAGGCTTGGATCAATGTACCGAGAATGGACGGTAGATTCCGGAGATTTGTTCGGGCTAAAGCAGGTCAGCACTGTGATTTCGATCCCACCAAGACGCATTCTCGTCACCTACCTGAAACTACTGACTTCTCCATTCAACTCGACTTCCTGAGGTTCATCATCATCGACGTAAATTGGATTCTCGTAAGTGTGGCCCCTTTCATTCAATGTGGTCTTGGTCTTTGAATGCTGCTGCTCTTCGAGTCGCCAGAAAAGCTGCTGTAGATATTGCGTGATTCTGTAGGTCTATTAGTTGCGAATAATGTTGACGTGTCTTTTGGGTCACTTACGTTATTTTGTCGACTGGGTACCTGAGTCTGACAGTTCGAGATCCAGCGTCTTCATCAGGCCAAAATTTCCGTCCATAGCCGTCATAACCAAGGAATTCTACCGCCATCTTCCTCAGACCCAGTCGATGCTGGTCATTCTGCCAGTCGTGAAGTGTGGTTCCTTTCCGGTCTTGCTTCGTGAAGAAAGTTTTGTGGAAGGCCTGGTAAGCATCATGGAATGCAACGAATCCAGGCACTTCACTATTGGCATAGCCAAGGATCTCGAGCAACTCAGAGATCCTGGGAATGGAACTAGGGTCAGTGAAACATGCCATAGCGAGGGTTCGATCCTTCAAGCGTGAGAACAATGGTGAGGAAATCAATTGATCCGACGGCAGACCATCAATAATAAGGTTGAAGGGTGAATGAGAAGAGAACAGGAAAGCAGAGGATGGAGAGGAGGGGGGTAGGCAGCCTTTATAAAGGCCATGAACATATATGCCGTGCCATCCCTCCAACTAGGGTTTCGGTATCATTTCGACCGGCATCATTTCAGCTCGGAGTTTACATACTTTTATTGGTCAACCACTTGGCATAGTCTTGGTTATTTGTGTTCTAAGAATCCCGTCGCAACGGGCTTTTAACCTTTATGGGACAAGACACAAGGATTATTGCTTTGCGAAAGACCAAGTGTTGATTCCGTCACAGTCATTGCCGATATCTCCCAGACTGGCTCCCATGCCGAGCTGCTTCTGGTCCTGGCCGAAGCGGAGAAATGCCGAGACCACAAAATCCTGATATTCTCAAAGTCCATGGACGGCCTGCCGTATTTGGGCTGGATCAGATCGTGAGAAACCCTCTTATCCTCTTGGTCCCGATTCCTCGCATTAACAACCTTCTCGCCTTTTCTTCTGACTACCATCATATCTGCGCTCTTCGTTGTCGGTCTACGCCATCCAGATCCGCGGCAAAAACAAGTTGTCGAGCGAATGTCGAGAGAATCGGTCGCTTTGTATGTCCTACGGCGCATTGCTTGTAGGATGGGTCACTGACTGACACACATAGGGTGGCCACATCGATTCATTCACCGACCCTCAAACTGGCAAAGTGTACGACTGAGTCAACGTATGCCGAGTAAGGCGCGGCTCTCGAGGTCTTGATGTGCTTCAATGTGCCCGTTCAGAGCCCGGCTCGTCTACTCCTAGAGTCCACATACGCCAATTCCAATGCCGGTCACATCACGCACACTTCACTACCCGTCTCGATGGAGATTGCTTCCACTCTTGAGAAGCAACTCGAAGTTTGCGGAATGTGCGAATCCACGACTAGTCCCGCGTACACCAGCTTTCCGGAGACCACTTCTGAAACCCCAAAGGACTTGACGCTTTCCTTTTCAAATTTTGTCGAGGAGTACAGTCTCGACGCCGCGGTCCCGCGTATCTTTCAGGTCACCGATGTTGGCATGGGCAATCTCGCCAACCACACGACCTTGTACGTGATGCAGACTTTCGGCGCAGACCTGACTCGCTCTCTTTTGGGAAAGGTCTCTTCTTTCGTTCCCGTCTCTCAACGGAAGCAGGATCTCTCCGACGCCATCGCCAGGTCGTGGCGACGTCTTCCTCACTGCTGCGGGGGTTCGCATCATTCGAACCGCCGTGGGCGTTGAGGCTTCGGTCCAGAACACTGATGGGGAAATGACCGTCATCCGCGCGGAAGGCTTGTCATAGCTTCCGAGCCCACCCTGAGGAACCCGGGTGTGATTGATCTTGACCAGAAAGAGGCCGCCAATTTCTCCAAACGGGAGTGGTCTCACGTACACATTGGGGTCATCTTCCACCCCTTTCTTCCCAAGTGACATTATCTTGCCCAGCGTGACTCCAACAACTGACTCTCTCTTCCCGCCGCCCCTTCTGTCGGCCATTTCGACCATCTTGGCGAGGAATACTTTCACTCTTCGTCACCCGTCCCGCTAGCTTTAAAGTTTGCAAAGCACGGAGCCACGTCTGACGGTCATTCGAGAAGCTGGCATATGCTGGCTCCATCCCACAGACGCGTGGTGAGGAAGCCACATTCCACGCCTGATCTGATCATGCCATCGCGGTACTGTGCGCTTACATGTGTCTCGCTCCGAGGCCGAGAACGGCTACATCATAGACCAGTACGACTTCAAGATCGCAGAAGCTCATACTATACCAGCGCTGTCTGGGCAATTCACGGCGATACTTTAGTTGTATAACGACCAGTCTTTGCTGCTTAGGCTTTAGCTGGTTCCTAAGGTCAGGCGTAGTGATGGACAGGGTAAAGACTCATGTGTATATTCGCTTCCGAACGCTACACTCGCGTGTACCCACGATACAAGCTGTTGTTCGATGCAGATCCTTTAGATTCGACTTCCTTATGATATCGTGTTCCAGTGGTCCATAGTATCAATTCAAAACCGATGAGAAGTAGAGTTGAAAACACGTTGCTCTAAGTTCAAGCATCATCAGACGGCCAGAAAGACGCATAGAGGTCCCAACTTTAGTCTCAGCAACACTTGGCATGCGTCTTTATGGGACCGGGAGAAAACCATGTACGAGATGTAACGTGCGGGGATGAACTCTGTGTCATGTTATCGGTAGCTCAAGATATGCGAACAGAGACTATGTTTTTCTCTCCCACCCCTACTCCAGGAACCATGAGCTCCATCCACTGGACCTATGGGCATTCTTTTGAAGCGATCGCTCATCATATCCATGATTCGAAGTGTCGCCATGGGAGGACAAACGGATCATCTTCCCGACCAACGGTTTCAATGCGGGGGCACAAGCCGCGATGATGTCGAGTTGTAATTGTACACTAGATGCGTGAGCACAGTCGGATGTCAAAGAGGGCTCGGCCGACGTACAACCCCAAGACTTGTATGTTTTGGTCGAATATCTTGTTCCTCTCCACCTCCAACGCGAGCTGGTACTTCGATTTGATGATGCCCATGACCACAGCACTAGAGAAGCTTTCAGTAATTACGGCTCGTAGGACTGCTCGGCAGTGTACACTTACATGTAGCCAATACTCAAAATCCCAATCACGTAAGGTCGAAAGTTTTGGTCCATTTGAGGGCTCCAGACCAGTGGGATTGGCAGTGTGGCGAAGACAACGTCGGTGCTTATGTTGAAGGCTGACGGTTTGTCAGTCGAAGTGAGATCAACCGTTCCTTCCGACATCTTGACGTACCGGTATTCACAATGCTGAATACGATGAAGTTCTTTGTTCTCATGCATTGAGGCGTTGGCTCGAGATTCTCGTTCCAGTAGCCTTCCATCGGACTGCACCTGAGGAAGAAGGGAAGTGTGCCGCCAACGTGATGGACAGCGGTGATACCTAGCCTTCTTAGCTGATCCATCGTCTCATCAACAAACAACTGGCGTCCAGCCACCTCGGCAGACTTACCTATCATGACCCATAAGGTCCATTTGTACCAGTTTCGATGCCTCATGTCCCTGCTGAGGCGCAGGAGGTTGAGAGCGACGGATATCTTAAGCCACATGAAGGCCAAGCCAGCCGAGATGATCGACTGCCAGAACCCGATCTTCTGAAACATCATGTAGTCATGGTCTGCGATCGTGTTGTCATGATTTTGAAGGCCGTAGTTGGCCTGGATGACGAACATAATCCAACCTCCTAAAGCACAGAGCTGGTACAGGCGCGCGTCAGTACCATCACTGGGCGCATCCGAGGGTGACAGGCCTACTGCAGAGACAACGATCAAGAGATCATCCCATCCACGCTGCTTGACTACAATAACTCTAGCATATATCCTCAAGCCGACGAGCACGAGTGCTAGCACATGGGATATCGTGACAATGGCCAGAATACTTGCGATGGTACTCTCCGTTGCCCGCTGATGATCGACAGCTTCGAATGCTTCTCGGTTGGTGGCGTTCATTGCTGCTTCAAAGCGAATGAATAAAGGACAGTGGCTCGATGTCAAGAGCGTTTTCTGTGAGCAATCTAGAACTGGTTGAGTAAAGGTGGGTGTTTGGAAATCCGGCAGTAAAGCGCCATGTGTACCGGTGCAGTGTTGCGGCCCTCGCAGAACTTTAAGGTTCTGTCTCTCGGCTCTGTCCAGGGAGAGAGGTCCAATCTCCCGAGCGCAATGAAGAGGGTCGCACTACGCACCCTAGCCTTGTCAAGACGACGCAAACCTGGCAGACTCCTTAGGGTGATCTCGTATCTGAACCCGCGGGGGGAGTCTATCAGGTTGTCTCACGTGCGTCTACTTGTGGTTCTCGAGAAGGGCATCAGTGCGAGAGATGAGCCGATTCCGCGGGGCTAAGTACGGCGTCCCGCCTTCCCCGAAGATCGGCAGACATGGCTGAACCTTCCACCGACAACTTGCTAACTATTTCAGGAAAAAGCATAATGCTTTACTTCCCCTGTCTGATTCTCCCTTGCTTGCCTCTCACAGAGCTCCTTGAAAGGCATTATCAAGTACAGAATGCTCGCCTACTGTATTCCGGAAGAGGACTAGCAGGAGACCCAGCAGGCTTGGTCTCGGGATGGTATCCTGCTCCCTCTTCGACAGGCGCAACCCTTTGAAGGTGATACAATGGCGTCGATGTCCTCTCTCGATGTGTCCAACCGTCTTGACATTTCCAGCCAATTCGCAACAGGAAGCGTTCCCCGCCTGTTCACTAATGACACGATCGGGCGATGATGTTTTCGGTGTTGCCTCGTAACGGCCTCATTGCCACTTCCGGGCGGGAACGTCAGCCTCATCTGCTCTGTCACAAAGCTAGCTTGTCGCCGGCCTAGAGCGAGGGCTCTGAACGGACGTCCCGTCGGAAATGACCGGATATCATAGTCAGCCGGAATCGCGCACGATCAGCGCGAGACAGTGACACACGGAGAGAAGACTCGGGGGGCGGGCGTCTACAGAGGCCTTTTTTTGTCGGCTTGCCGGCGAGAGTTCACAATGAAGACGCCGCCGACTCTCGGCAATACAGACAATCACATTTCCCGTCCTATCTGAGCAAGGAATTCTTTGAGCAATGGTCCGCATTGATTCTAGTTTGCGGGCGCCTCTAGCTGCGCAGTAACCATGTGTCAGACGGGGTTATCCAATGTAGCTGGACATTTGAGTCAAGAGGAAACTCAATTTGAATCTGTTGATTGTATGTTTCCGAGCTGCAAGACTAAACACATTCACTGCCTTTTGGATTTGCAACTGATGCTTCGCTCTTGAGGTGACCCGCTGTTCATCGATCGTGATGGCCGAGGCGAGAAGGTACACTAGATGAGTCCTACACTGTAGAGAGATGTGTCGCTAGCATTCCCCGCTGGCTACTGTCATCGCCATCTCCAGTGCACGGTCGCTCGGTCTCGTCCCGTGATTGTAGCGAAAACTCGTCCAATCCTCTCGGTGCATGGCTCGTGCTACATTCCCCTCCACTTCCCGAGCCCGCCATGGTCTCAGAAGATGCCTTACTCTTCATCTTCTTGATCGTCAGGAGCGTCGCTGGCAGATTGCCACAAATGATGATCAGGTTCACCTCAGCGAACCTGGGTCGCATTAGCCTGAACCACAACGCTTCACAAGGTTGCTCACATGAGTACCATAACCACGGCATCGTGCATGGTGGGATCTGAACTGCTTGGCAAACTGGAAAGAAAGGACAGACGGACGGCGGAGGCGAAAATCGCTCTGCGAAAGTGTTAGTCGCTCGCTCGAGGTCGCCATGGGGGGTCGTACATCACGGGGCTGCACCAGCGAAGGATTACCGTGCGTTTTGTTGCCGGCGTCATTTGCAGTTGCAGAATCGGCTTAACAGGCAGGGAAACCAGCACAAGGTCCGTGATGATGCCTGCTGCAGTAGCCGCCATGGGAATTGCAAGACAGCGAACATTGCCTTCCTCCGGACGTATGCGCTCCGTGAAGCCGCCATCGGTGACACAGAAAATAAGCAGCCCAAGAATGACGATCGTATAGATGAAGATGACCGCAATAATGGCCTTTCCTGCCTTCGTATACCACTCGCCAGTAAAGGTGTTAAGGCAGAACCAAGCGATGGATATTTCCGCAGCACTGTGGCTCAATAGGCGTACTGCCTCTGCAATATACATCAAGTCCAAGCGAGCCGAACGTGCCACCACTTCCAACATGTTAGCTAGCTTCTCCGTTATGGACTGAGACGTACCGATGACGATAGACTGGGTGATGATGGACAAAACCTAAACGCTCATGTCAACATCGCCATTCACACGAGCCCTAAACCGTTTACCCACCCATGCCAGCAGCATCGTATCTGTACTGTATCAGTTGCGCGAATTCTCAGCTATTTCCCTGCTCTACTCACAGCCTGCCCCGTACAGTGTCTTATCAGAGTACCGGATGGCCAAACGAGCTACTAAGGTCAAGAGTGCAATGGTACCACCGATGCCAAAAGCCAGGCTGCTCGCCAGCAATAGCCACGGTTGGCTTGTTGGAGAACCAGTACCGTAGGCCGTTGACTCGTCCATTGCCAAGTCTATCGTTCGGGAGACTGATAGAGGTCGTACTGGACACACGGGCACGAGTCGTCTATGGAAAGGGCGGAGATACCGGCAGGTCTTATACGGCCTCACCAGAACCCCTGATCAGCCCCACTCGGCAATGGCATAATAGAGCTAGCCACAACGTACATCTCACTTTCGCGACGACTACTATCTATTTGTCGACGCCGCCATGAAGTCCTCGCCTCTTTGTGCTATGAATGTGGTCGCGCTGTCTAAAACGGCCATCTGCAGCTGTTTCTCGCAATGTCGCCTTCATCAACCCGCCAGCACTTGAGCAGCGCACATTGCTTCAGTCGAAGTCAGCTCGCTGTTTAAACGGCATGTTGACACTTCTCTGACACAACCCAATGCCACAATTAGTCCAAGATCGCAGCAGGAGAGAATATGAATATTCAGCCTTATGCAACTCACCTCCTGACTGTCACTCGTATCGCACGGCACTAACGGGTGACGAACAGCCACATGTCGAAGCATGTTGAGCAGTCCGCTCCATTCTGTTTGATCGACCCAATGCCCCATAATGGGCCTGCCAGCTCGCGTCTGACGAAGGAAGACGCACTGCCGACACCCACCGGCGTTCGCAAACACCACGCTCCACAGCCAGTCCTGATGCGGCTTGCCGGATCTGCCATCGGCCATCCGTCCGCCCGTTTAGAACCCCCGTCCCGAAAATTAACTATCAGCTATCGGAACCCGTCTTGCCCGTCGCGTCGAGCGCCGTCCAGTCTATTGCGTATTGAGGTGATGAAGTCGGCTGCGGCAGATGTGATTGGTCCGCGAACGACATCCTGATCCGGCTAGTGGGCGACAATGCGCTGACTCGTCCTTCCGCCCCCTCTGATCTAGGCCCGGACGCTGCGGCTTGTACGAGGGCCAAGCTCAGCGCAGCAAAACGGAGCGGTACCTCTGGCTCGAACGACGCCACAGGGTGTCTCCCAGCAGGGGCGTGAGAAAACCGCTTGGTGTCCACAGCCCGTTCGAGCTACGACCATCCATACCCGAGGCACGGACCTTGGGGTTGGCTAGTGACAGCGCCGGTGGTCCTTGCATGAACTTTGGAAGTAATCAGCCCTCCAGGGTCCCAGACCGGACCCCAGCCCACAGATAGCGAGCTGCATAGGGCACAATATCCGACACGACGATCGGCCACCTTAGCCAACATCATTCAACCAAGATTTTCGGCCACCAAGCAGCGGCGAGACGCGCGCCAAGGACGATAGCTGTTGCTCTATGTAGTACTTTCCAACTCGCTCGACAGCACCGCAGGGAACACCCGGCTATCGGTGCGGGGGTTGAAGGGGGTGTTGGAGGTTCATTTCATACGTAATGTCCAACAAACGTACGCTACTCTGCGTTCTTGGGGCTATCGTCATTCATCACTGGGGAGGAGTTGCTTTCCATTGCCACGGCAGGCCATTAAGGGACTGGCGCTACTGACGCAGTTCACCTTCATCTCAGTTGTCGCGCAGAGCAAAGACTCTCAAGTCGGCATAGGATACATTAAATGCTGGAAAACTATTTACTGTGTAGGATACTCTGTCTGAAGGAACCCGGCCAACACCTTCTTGCTCGATCCACCACAAGCAATCATGCCCACTGTACGTGCATCGCGTGAGATGACTGAAAATACATGCCGTCATAGCTCGTGAAAGCCATATTATGCCCATCGCTGCATTCATCCGAGGAGGCCATGTTTTCGTCGTCATTATCATCGAAGCCCCGTGGATGGCGGCGCTGCTGCTACTACTGTGTTGAGGAGATCCTCTTCGAGCTATATCTTGTCAGGCTGACAGAGGTGGAATAGTGCTCGATTGGTCAATGGAGAGATGGTCTCTTTGCCTTCCCAGCACTCGTCGACACCCTCCGGCCCTTACCGCGACCCTTCACCCCCCTGTTACTGTTCTTGAACATGCTCTCGAGGTAACGGTATGTCTCGCGTTGCTCGTCGTCTAGACCTTCAACGTCGGGAGTGGAGTTCATCAAGGCGGCCAGCTCCGCAATAGCCTTCGTGTGGTGTTTGTTTTGATGGGCCTTTGGCGCAACATGTTAGCCGAGTCGTCTACAAAGACTTGAACCACTTACCTTGAGGTTTCCTCTCTGGGTAAACCCCTTGTTGCACTGATCCAACTTGCAGACGAATGGCTTCTCGCCGGTATGTATTGCCGTGTGTGATTGGAGGTTGCCGCGGTGCGGAAACGACGCTGGGCACTGCTTGCATTGGAATGGCTTCTCACCGGCATGTCGGCGCATGTGAGTCTATCACTTTGTTAGTCGTGTGAGGAGCAAGCGGAGGTAGTTGGCTTACCTGTAGATTGCCTGGCTGGGAGAAAGTGAGTTCACATGCAAGCCAAGTACATTGCTGAGAGATGTCAGTATCTCCCAGATCACCGCCATCTCATCAACGCTTACGTATGGCTTCTCCCCAGTGTGCGCACGCTTGTGGTTGTCAAGGTGATGGCCCTGATCGAAGGATTTGCCACAACTATCGATGTCGCAAACGAATTTCTTTGTCTTGGGGGCATTCACAACCTCCGCGGGTATCGACGAGGATGTAGGAGGGGAAGCTCTATGATCGGCCTCGAGCTAGAAATGAATGAGCGAAACCCTTCTTGTGTCTATGTCAACACTCACATTGGGCGATTCATGCTCTGCCTTGACCTGATCGTTCTCTGGAACACCTTTGATACTAGCGTAGGACCTAGGTCTCTCCTGTATGGCCTTCATGAGGGTGTCAACAGAGGTTCTGAACTCCACAACGTCAGCGCCCGTCGGCTCGTTGAACGTAATGTCCTTTGCGTTGAGCCGATCAGGCGTCTTGAAGTTCCCTTTCTCTAGTTCAGCACTAATTGAGGGACTACGTTGTCGGCCATCTCTACCGGATACGCCATCGTAAAGATTGGCAGAATGACGTTCCTTGTGCTCTGGTGTGACCAAGGGCACGACGGGCCGCTCCCAACGTGCTGAGTCTCGGGAAGGCATGTTGCGATGTGTGCAGGCCATATCGCTGTGCGTCGGCCATTCGTGCCTTGTCGCCGGCGTCGGCAATGTGTGTAATGGCGGTGCACTCGGGTATGCAAGGCCCATGGTGGATCTGTCCACGGGACCTGACATGGCTGGACACAACTGGCGCTGTACAGGGCTAGGATGGCTCATCACAGCGTATCCATTGATAGCAGGCTGCGGGTGATAGTATCCCCTTGGTTCAAGCGGTACTAATTGCTGCGCGAAAGCCATTGATAATTAGGACGATGTCAAAGTACTGTGAGAAATGGTATGGGGTTTTCCGCGTCTTGTGGAGAATATCAAGTGAACATATTGAACTCTACCAACCAGATTAAATGGGCAGCTCGCTATATAGAAGGCGACCAGTAGGGACTGAAAGTTGCTTTTGTTATTTGAGATCCGAGGCTAGTCATGTCGTCACAACTGGAGCAACACACCAGAATGTAGGAAGACCAATTCGAATTCCGACATCTGACCATGCATCATACCTGCAGCACGGCGAGAGCTGCAGTGAAAAGGGGCTGAAGATGAAAAGAAAGCGGCGATGTAGCTGCTGCGATGCAACCTACCATCGTGGACAGGCATTCCGAGGCAGGGAAACAGTTCGAGACTGCTTGTCATTTATCAATGAGAATATGCTCGCGACCGATGTATGCCCACGAAGTCGATGATCCTGGTTGCTTTTCGCTCCTCTACGCAGTAGGGATATCACGCCTACATCACCGTCCAGCAACCACGCGTAGCTCAGCTAAGTAGCACGGTACTTGATGGAAGGAGGCGTTCTGCTAGCCAACGTTCCTTTCCGTGGCCAGCTATCCATGCTTGGAGTGCATCTTGGCCTGTGATTGGCCTTTCTTTCATGCAACCCGCCATGTCCACCCTGAGAGATGACTCGGTGGAGAATTTATCACGTGCTCATTTTATGTAGCGTGTTTCTCTTTCAAAACAATCACTGGGTGGGCCTGGACTAATGCTATTCCGTCCTCCGTGCGCTAAGTGATCGGCGCATCAAATCCTGGGATGATGTTCAGCCTGATCCCCGCTATTCTGCGAAAGTCGTCAATGATGCCCAAAATAACAACTGCCCATGTGACAGACGACAGACAGGTGCGCGCGCTTCCTTACATCACCAATCTTGATCCTAATACGTTCTATCTAAGCAAGCTAATACGCTTCGCATTTCGTGGGCGTCACCCAGGTCCGGTTCAAGAGCGCCCGACCCAGAGAGTCAATTTTCGAGCCCCCGCTTCAAAGCAAGTCTCTCAGGAATGACCGAGGTACGGCTGATCCGCAAGGCGGAGGAGTATTGAAGCTAATACATATACTCAGGCTAGCAGCTCGATCGATCAATACTCTCCTGACGATGACCTCAGTTTCACAACATGGGCCATAATAAAAGCAGGTCAAAGAGTAGAATGGCGGAACGATAAAGAGGGCACCGTCGAGGTTGTGAGGGACAATGGGAAGACGCCGATCAGCGCAACGGACAACTCCGAAAGACAAACGTACACAATTAGAGAGGGAGAGGTGGTAGTCATCCAGCGTTTGAAATTCAAAATATCCTAGTTTGATCAATCAAGAAAGGAAACAGGCTGAAGTACAGCTGCTGCCCGGTCTGGAAGCAAATTTTGATTTCCATTTTGTAGTCGCCATGCTCAGCGTCCACCACGCTGAGAACCTCTGATGCCCTGTTTCTACCTTCTTGCCACGCACAGCTATCGCTCATGGCACCATAGAGAAACGAACCAAACATGAACTCCAAGTCCTCGAAAGGTCCCGAGATTGCACTTCGAACATCTCGTCCGACAAAGGCACTGACCCATATAGACAAGAGGAAATCCGTCTCCACGGCTGGCAGGGTCAGACGAATAGCGTTCGTTGCACGGTGCTTTGAGGCATCGGAAGCCTCCATTCTCCGCATGCAGCTCCGCGAAAACCCCATGAAGAGATACGTGCCTAAGAAATCCAAGGCGCTCTTCATATTAGGTTTCGTATTCGTAGCATCGAAGTAAGACACAACAGTCGTCTCAATCGCACGTGACGTGGGGATATCTGCATCAGCTGCCCCTGGCCTATCATGCAGCAACTTATCGATCAATGACTGTCTCCATGTTTCAAATGTGTCTGGCGAGTTGGTTTTTGCGATGTAAAAGGCGCACTCTCAAGGGTGGACGCGCCGTTAGTACTTTATCCAGGAGAGCAGTCTGAAGGGTACACTCACCCACTGTAGCGGTAGCGAGGGTCTCCCCCTTGAGTGATCTGAGAAGGATTTCAGATTCAATCGTGAAGTCACGACCCTCCGCTTGTTGTTTCGCCAGGGCATCGAGTCCAAGCTGCTTCAACTGCTTCGGACTCTTGAGAAGATTTCGCCGCGATTTGAGATCTCGGACTGCTACGCGTGTGCTAATCGCTATGATCTCATTGATACTCAAGACGCTGAAAATGCTTTGCCGGTTTTCCATCATATATCGACATGCTGGCTGCGGTTTCGATCGCAAAGAGATGGTGATATCTGCCCTTATGGCAGTAGGCTCTTCGATACTCTCCATCACGAGCAAAAAAGAAGCGCTTCTAAGAAACCTGCTCAAAGTATCAAGCAGGCGAGCGAGAGGTAGGCGAGCGAGAGAGGTAAGCTCGCGAAAGAGGTGAGCTCGCGAAAGAGGTGAGCTCGCGAGAGAGGTGAGCTCGCGAGAGAGGTGAGCTCGCAAAAGAGACGGACGAGCAAAAGAGATGGGCGAGCAAAAGAGATGGGCGAGCAAGAGAGGTGCACGAACAAAAGAGATGGGCAAGTAAAAGAGATGGACGAGCAAAAGAGATGGGCGAGCAAGAGAGGTGGGGCGAGCAAGAGAGATGGGCGAGCAAGAGAGATGGGCGAGCAAAAGAGATGGGCGAGCAAAAGAGATGGGCGAGCAAGAGAGGTGGGGCGAGCAAGAGAGGTGGGGCGAGCAAGAGAGGTGGGGCGAGCAAGAGAGATGGGCGAGCAAGAGAGATGGGCGAGCAAGAGAGATGGGCGAGCAAGAGAGGTGAGGCGACCAAGAGAGCAAGGACGTAGCTAGACTGTCCCCTGTACCTTGGTTCTGGATCTAGGCGTATCGGCTTTCTAGGAAAAGTAACCCTAAAAGGACAACAGCATGTTTGGAAAAAGCCAAATTATCTAGCAGTACAAGAAGAGTCGTTCCCACGTATTTGTGGTGAACACCTGCAAAGATATGTGAATGCAGCCGGAATCAGTGGTCAGTATTCATGAACGGCGTAAACCGAATGTTCTCGTAAGGATTTGCTTGACATCCCGGCTCCTGCTGTCTCGTCATGTATGAATATGCCAAAGACGATGCATGCACCCAAAACTTCGGCGTGGCCAGGCGCAAGCGACCAAGGCGGCGGCCAAATGGCGAGCTTGCTCGACTAGAGGTAGCATCATCTTCTTGTCAAGTCCAGGGAATGTACAAGCTTAAAAAGCTCAATGCCCTACTCAATGGTCAGTGGACTATTGTCACGTAACAGGGATAGTAACCGCATCTCACGAAGTGCCCGTCACGTGCTGAATCACGTGTCTATCTCAGACATCGTGTATATAGACCTTTTCCTTTTGTCTATTTCTACTTTAATATGTTAAGCCACTTTTACCACACTCCGTATGCCCATTGCTGCGTGCCATAACTCGTGACAGT